TATATATATATATATATATATATATATATATATATATATCACTAAGATTAGAGATAAATAAAAAATTAAAATGGAAATGGTTCCTCTTTCGCAGAGGTTAACAAAACAAAATGAGTACTTTTTCTTTACTCCAGGTGTTAGAAATATTAGAGTTGTACAGAGAATTTTTGGAATCTTTCATTATTCCCATCTTTTTTACTCAAATTCAAAATCTTTATTTTTTCTGAATGAAAAGTCCACATTGTGTATCCTCTTTTCGTACTCGGATTGAACCCAGGAGCACTTAACCATTGAGCCACATCCCCAACCCTTTTTTTTTTTTATTTTATTTAGAGACACGGTCTTGCTGAGTTTCTTAGGACCTCCCCAAGTAGCTAAGGCTGTCTTTAAACTCATGGTCCTCCTGCCTCAGCCTTTCAAGCCACTGGGATTAGGAGAAGCATGCAACACCACACCTGGCACCACACTTTGTATCTTATAATGTAATTTCCTCAACAAAAGGAGAGAGAAATGCTAATTTCAGTCAACTATTCTTTACTCTTTTTATCTCTTTGGTTTCCCTTTTGTAATCTTATTGTCTCTCTTTTTCTCCTTTTTATTCACAATTTCCATTTTTGCATAAAGTTTTCTCTCCTTTTTCTCTGCCAGTGACCTAGAACTTTCAAATTCAAATGGGTTGAAAATTAATTTATCATGTATGGATTCCTTTGGCTCTGAAGTAATATTCTGGATCAGGGTGGTCAAACTGCTTCTCCTAATACACTATTAGTAGAACCTGTTAAAATGTGTCTCTTAATGTAGTTTTGGAAATGCTGTCCTACATTCACAATAACTTTTAACTGTGTCTAAATTAAAATACTTCATAGTCCTTGAATTTCTTGGCTATCGATTCTGTGTTGATGGAATATATTATTGTTTAGAAGATAAAATATTAATGTTTAGAATTATATTATGTTTTCTTTAAAAATTTCATTGTAGATTGTTTGGGATAACTCTTACAAAGTTGGTTGTGCTGTTACTCCATGTAGAAGAATTCAAAATATTAGACATGCAGCACTTTTTATATGCAATTACGCACCAGGGTAAGTTACTTTAAGATAATAAAAACATAAAAATATGTTTTCTTAACTTTAATATATTATTCTAAGTATTTTATGAACTATAAAAAAGTTAGGTATAAAGTATTAATTAAAAATTTATGTTGAAATATTTTAAATTCCATAGTGAAATAAGCCATAACTTGTACATATTGGTTTTTATTTATACGCTACCCTTGTGTTACATGCTAGAATACTAACTTTAGTATATTTCCAATATCTAGCCTAACTAGTTTAGAATTTAAATTATTTTTCAAAAAATTTATCCCTATATTTATGATAAAAGTTAAAAGAAAACAAAATTAAACATGTTAAAATTTATGTAGTAAGGGTTGTTTTACATATACATCAATTTGTAATATGAAAGACATTCAACTGATCACCCAGTGTGGATTGCATTAATTAGGACTGGTCTCTTATATGTAAGGAGCCATAATATCTCTAAGACAGAAGAAAATTTTCAAAGCCTCCTAATCAAGCTATCCATATTAAATTTGAACTCTTTATACTTATCATGTGATTATTTAGCTTGTATGTGAATATCTGCCATTTATGGGACTAATTACCCTTCATAATAACATCCATCTCTGGGCAGCTCTGTTGGAAATTTCCAAGATTTCTTACAGGCCATTATGACACTATAAATAATATTATAACTTCTAAATAAGTGAGAAGATATTCTAACCAATGTCTTCAATAAAAAACTAAAAATTGGCTTCTTAATAGGATTGAGAAGGAAGTGCTGCTGAATATAATGTTTTGGAACTAAAGCATAAAGAAAACGAAAAAAGTATTGATTATTGATGGTATTCCAGTATATGGAGAAAACAGTAGAACATAACAGTGAATTAAATTCAGAAAACCCTTTCCTGATAAAGAGATGACCACATTTAGTTTATATTCTTGCAAGGTGGAGATAAACCCTTGTTAAAATTTAAACACATAAATAAATCATATTTTAACTACATAATAAAATGTAACATAAAAAAGCAGGATATGCAAATAAGGAATGGTTGGTATGGAAGAGAGAGTAGTCACAAAAGGAGGTGGCAAATGAAAAGGAAATAGCAAAATAATATTCTAAGTGTAAGGAAGAAAATGCATAAAATCTCTGAGGTTGTATGAGTTTGGTATGTTTGAAGAATGAATAATTCTGGTTAGAAGTAGGAGATGTGGTTGAAAGTTAGATGAGAGAACAAATAGAATAACATAGGCCATATTGAATATTTTCTCATTTATTCTAAATAATGACAAAGTCTTTGGGAAGTCTTAAGCCAGTGAGTAGCAATCACGTTTAGGCTTTGGAAAAAATGATTATGAAAAAGATACTCTGGAAATTAGAAAATGTGGGAAGTAAAATATCATTTCAATAAAGAGATGGAGATTCTGAAAAACAACCAAACAGAAATTCTGAAAATGAAAGATTGAGCAAACCAAATTAAAATTTCAATGGAAAGCATCACCAATAGATTAGAACACTTTGAAGATAGATTTTTCAGGCATTGAGGACAAAATATATAATCTTGAAAATGAAGTTGATGATAAAGAAAAGATGTTAAACTTGGATTCAAGCTGGCAGGCTAGAGAAAGGCTTTATTCCTAGTTGCTCTGTGACTTTGGATTCAAGCAGCAGTAGTACTGCTTTTCTGGGAGGTGAGTGAAAGAGGAATTTCACTAAAGCTTAATATTGGACAGTCAGAGTGTTTTGGAGACTCAGAAAGTTGGGAATATTAAACAAAGAAAGACTACATTGAAGCCAAGCCATTTTTGGCTGCAGCAGTAGCAGTGCTGGTCAGCACAGAGGAAGGGAAAACACAGAGGAACACAATGGACAGATTTAGTAGAGAAAACCCTGAAATCAGAAAAGCAGACTGCTATAAATTCTAGCCAGAGAAATTAAGCAAGAGAAGAATATGAAAGGGATAAAAATAGGAAAGGAAGAAGTCAAATTATCACTGTGTGCAAATGATATGATCCTATACCAAGAAGATAAAACAAAACAAATCCACCAAAGACTGCTGAAGCTAATAAATTTGGCAAAGTAACAGGTTATAAAATCAACATGCAAACATCAATAGCTTTCTTATATACCAAAAACAATCTGCTGAGAAAGAAATTAGGAAAACAATTCTATTCACAATGGCCTCAAAAACAAACAAAGAATAAATCTAATCAAGGAGGTGAAAGACCTCTACAATGAAAACTAGAAAACAAAAGAACATTGAAGAAAGACATTGAGGAAGACCTCAAGATGGAAAGACCTCACATGATCATGAATAGGCAGAATTAATACTCTTAAAATGGCCATACTATCAAAAGCAATATACATAATTAGTGCAGTCCCTATCAAAATACCAATGACATTTTTTACAGAACTAGAAAAAAAATAGTCCTAAAATTTATTTGGAATAATAAAGACCAAAAATAGCCAAAGTAATTTTAAGCCAAAAAAGCAATGCTGGAGGCTTCATAATACCTGACTTCGAACTATACTACAGAGCTATAGTAATAAAAGCTGCATGGAACTGTCATAAAAACAGACATATAGACCAATGGTAAAGATTAGAAGACAAAGACAAACTCACACAGATAAGTCTTTTGATCCTTGACAAAGGTACCAAAAACATACATTAGAGAAAACATAGCCTTTTTAACAAATGGTGCTGGGACAACTGGTTATCCATATGTAGAAGAATGAAACTAGACCTTTATCTCTCACTCTGTGCAAAAATCAATTCAAAATGGATCAAACACCTCACAATTAGACTAGAAACTATGCAACTACTAGAAGAAAACATAGGGTCAACACTCCAGCTCAGGCACAGGCAATGACATTCTCAATAGGACCCCTAAAACTCAGGAAATAATGCCAAGAGTTAATAAATGGGACAGCATTGAATTAAAAAGCTTCTGCACAGCAAAGGAAACAATTAGGAATGTAAAGAGAGAACCCACAGAATGGGATAAAACTTTTGGTAGCTGCTCTTTGGAGAGTGGATTAATTTCTAGAACATATAAAGATCTCAAAAGCCTTACACCAAAAAATCAAATAACCCAAGTAATAAGTGGGCAAATGAGCTAAACAGACACATCTAAAAAGAAGAAACACAAATGGCCAACAAATACATGAAAAAATGCTCAACATCATTAACAATTCAGGAAAATGAATATATGGTATGTATACACAATGGAGTTTTATTCAGTAATAAAGAAAAAACAAATTGTAACATTTGCAGAGAAATGGTCGAACTAGAGACAATTATGTTAAGCAAAATAAATTAATTTCAGAAGGTTAAGGGTTGTATGTTTTCTCTCATGTGGAAGCTAGTGAGAAAGAAGGAAAGCAAAGTTGCTAGGATCTCCTAAAAATCACAGGGAGATCATTAGAGAAAAGGGGCCAATGAATGGGAGATATGAAAGGAGTGGGGGAAATGCTGGGGATTGATATTGACCAAATTAGATTGTTAGATTGCGTGCATGTACAAATATGTAGCAACAAATCCCCTCATATGTACAACTATAATGCATCAATGGGGGAAAATAGTGAAAGAAAGGATAAAAATGAAAGAAAGAAAAGATGTTAAGAGACCATGAACTGAATATTCAAAAAATCTGGGATAACATTGCAAGACCAAATTTAAGAATTACTAGGGTACATGAAGGTTCTGAAATACAAAGAAAAAGAATGCACAATGTTTTTAATAAAATAATATTCTAAAAATTTCTTATGAAAGACATGGAAAAATGTTTTATGAAAGACATGGAAATTTAAATACAGGAAGCACATAGAATTCCACATAGGCAGGATCAAAAAAGATCTCCAAGACACATTACAATAAAAATTCCTAATATTCAAAGTAAGGATAAAATTTTAAAATCTGCAAGAGAAAGTGGCAGGTCACAATTAGAGGTGAACCAATTCAAATTTCAACTGAATTTTCAACCAAAACCCTAAAATACAGGAGGCTTGGAATAATATACACCAAGCTTTGAAAGAAAAAGGGTACCAACAAAATTACTATATCCAGCAAAATTATTCAGAATTGAAGATGAAATAAAAATCTTTGATTATATGCAGAAACTACAAGAATTCATAATCATCAGCCTGCACTACGAAACATACTCAATAAAATATTTTATTTGGAAGAAATGAAAAATAAAAACGAAAACCAGCATAGGGATGAATTGCAGTAGAAGAATGAATTAAAGGAAAATGAAGTCTGACTTAAACATTAGAAAATAAACATTACAAATAAATCAAAGTGACAGGAAATAAAAATAATCTCTATAATAAGTTGAATATAAATAGACAAAACTCTTCAACCAAAAGACATAGATTGGCAGATTGGATTAAGTAAATACCCCAACAGTATGCTATTTGCAAGAAATACAAAGACATCTACAGTCTGAAGGTGAAAGGATGGGAAAAGATGTACCATGCAAATTGTAGCTGAAAGTAAGCATGGGTAGATATTCTCATATCCGACAAAGTGGACTTCAGCTGCAATGCTGGAATTTTTTTCTTATTTTACTATCTCTAACCTTCTGAGTCTCTGATCTGCTTTGAATATCCAGTTTTAAATTCCAGTAAAGCTTTTTTTGTTCACTCACCTTGCTGAGAAGCTGCCTGTCTGCTTTTATAGCTAAAAAACTATTAATCAAATGGATTTAATAGATGGATAAAAATATTTCATCCGCAATGACTAAATTCACTTTCTTCTCAGCAGTATATGAAACATTTTCTAAAATAGATATTTTAGCTCACAAAACAAATCTTAGCAAATACAAAAAAGTAGAGATAATTTCTTACATCATTTTACATCATGATGGAATTAAGTTTCAAATCATTGACAAGATAAAAACAGAAACTATTTAACACCACCTGGAGCTTAAAAAATACGCTTTTGAACAGTGAATAGATAGCAGAAGAAATCAAGGAAGAAATTTAAAAATTCTTAGGAAAAAACCATAATAGTGATACAACA